TAAGTAAAAGTACTGATCCAAGTGGCTCGGCTTTTTAAATAGTTTTTAAAAAAGATTTACTAACTCCAAAGCTACAGAGGAGAGAATCATTGTATTCATTTTGTACTCATTTGGCTTGGCACAATCAACGTTTTCTCTTCTGTGGATGAAACACATACTTAAAGTTTCTTGATTCTAAAATATTTGTTGAAAATGCTTCACTTTCCAGATCATCTAATTCTGCTCACTCAGCAGGGCCTATCCATGTCCATACATTTATTTTTCTTCTTGGAGAGGCTGAGATAATTAAGTTAAAGTGCACACAGTATTTCGCATTCAGTGGTTCAGAATCCAGTTTTTGTCATTTCCATTTAAAGGATCTCAGAAAAGTATTACTGGAATGGGTTTGAGACTGAATCAAACAAGGCATAAGCTAAATAGGTGAACAGACTAAGGCAGTTTCCTGTGAGCCTTTATTTTAATTAATAACTTGTAAGCATATATGACTAAGTATAATTAGACTGCAGCCTTCAGAGTATTTTATTTGATTCCCTAGCAGCTTACCGGAAAATTGAATTATGCTAGTTTATTAGTATCCTTTCATCTTTCTCTCTGAATTAAAATAATCTGAATTGGCACTAATCAGAACTCTGGCTTTTATCTAACAATGGCCTCATTAGAAATAAAACTAAAGTCATGTGAAGATTAGAAACTGGAATTCGACACATCCAGTGCATTTTGGCCAGTGAATTTCCTGTTCAGACTGATAGAATCTTGCAGTTTGAAAGCCTTCTGCTGATATATCTTAATTTCATGCATTCTTTCATGCTTCATATTCTCTTCATATTTCATGGCAGTACAGCATTAATTCAGATGCTATTGGTAACTTCCTAGTTATAACGAATATTTGATCTGACATTCAAGACAAGTTCTATTTTTCTGTAGTTTTCTCAATTCCCCTCCCTTCCTCTCTCCTCCTCCTCCTCCTCTCTCTCTCTCTCCCCCCCCTCTCTACACCCCCCCCACACACATATCAATCAGAAAAATAGAACTTAAAATAAGATTAGAATATAAAATTATAATTTGCAACATGCTATGTAGGAAGTTAGCACCCACCCCTCTCCTAGAAAATTGAAATATCCTAGGAAATATTAAAAAGGCAGAATATTTCTCCTAAAAAGAGTAGAAACTCAGAAGCAGAAACTCACCTCAGAAGCAGAAGCTCACCCCCACCTTTGTTAATGGGTGGGCCATTAAGGCCTGGGCCAGAATACTTTACATAAGAAAGATCTCCAGGTAAAGCTATAGCAATTGCTCAAAAACCCTTTCAGTGCATCATCATCCAGCAAGGATCAACCAAGCCTGGAACTCAGGACAGCCTACAGAATTGCCCCTGCATGGCCTCACGGGAGTCTGACAATCAATCAAAATACAAGCTCCAATTCAAATCCCAACAAAGGTTATAAAACCCAGGCACTCTCAGCACCTCAGCCTTTTTCTTGATCTCTTCCTTCTTGACCTTCTCTTCTCACTTTGAAGCATGTGATCATCCTTTTCACTTTGGAGCTTCAAGCCATGTGGTCCTGCTGTCCACCATTAAACCATCTTTCCAAACAGCCTCCATGTTTCCAGTGTCTTTTTCCCCACTTGGAACTGAACCCAGAAGGATATTTCTACCAACAGCTATTTTTTTGATAGCATGAAAATTACCATTCCTTTTTGTGAAGGTGATGGCAGGTAGATAAAATAATCTTGAATTCTAGTGTAAAAACCAAATATCTTCCCTTAATTATTCACTCATCACAGTTTTATTACAATCGAGACATCTTTTGATCAAACCTTGAGAGTATTAGGAGACATTCCAGGTTATCAGGAAGTAGTTCAATTAGTTTAAAATCCAGAAGACATGTTGAAAAATGCATTTCTCATGAGAAGCCACTGAAAATTATTCTTGATCCTGTGTTTTTGACCTCTAGTCATTCTTTGTCAAGATCACATGGAGATTTCTCTGCCAAGGCTACCCACAAGAGATTTGCTTTATATGTATTGCTTGTCATGGTTGCACATTGAAACAGTTCTTTAGGGACACTCCTGTTTGTTGAAAGACAGGACTAGCCTCTTTCCTGGCCCGCTGCCCTAGTGAGGAAAAAACCCCAAACACTGGAGCCAGACGGCTCTATTTCCTTTTAAGGCAATCTGTAGGAATCCAAGGTAATCTAATGATTTGGCTGAGAGGAACACAAAACACAGCTAGTTTGCAGGATGTTGAGGAAAGGCAGCTGTGGCAAGATAAACAACAGGTTTTGTTTTTAGGTTTCATTTTATACACATGTTTCTCTTTGGACAAACCATAGTTTTCTAATAGTTTGGGAGTAGATGGTCCTGGTATTCACAAAATTATCCTCTAATATCACAACATTTTCTTTCTTATTCTTAATTCAGTTCTTATTCTTAATGCAGTTTGATTCATATCAGAAGGAAAAACTTTTGAAAAGGATGGACTTCAGACTTCACTTCCTTGTACCTCAGACGCTGTTTGGTGATTCACAGGCAGGCCTAAAGGGAACTCTGTTTGGAGAAGGTTTTGGAAAGAAACTTGCAGAGAATTGCAGCAGATCTGCCTTGTTTTTATGATATAGGAATGCAAGCGTTGCTAAAATGTGTTATTTCAAGTTACAGGAGACCTTTCCTTCTTGTGCGCCTGGTCTTTTCCTTACTCAACACCCCTTTAAACTTGCCGTGTATGCCTAGAGATGCTATGTTTATTTTTTCTTTGTCTATTTGGTTACATTTTCACCACTCTTCTCTACGTGTCTTTGTTTTGGTAGTTGTGGGGTACTATAATGATGGATGAGGCTTTGTTTAAGTTTCCTTCCTGCACAGCTATTAAAAGATACGGGATGAACAATGGGTGCCTTCCTTATATGAGCTTAGTTCAACATGGGATGAGGTAGCATCAGGGGGCTGATTACATCTGGTTATATATTTCAGCTCTCTGCTGAACAGGAGATGGAGTAGAAATGCTGAACCAGTGCTTGAAGGCTGTTAAGGTCTGATAGAAAACAACAGATTTGTCTTGAATGCATCCCAATCAGTATAGCTTTGGGTCCATGGGCCAGATGTTTCTGGAATAGTACAATCTTTGGCTCTGAACAGAGTTATACTCCCCCACTTAAAGTCATCCCACAGCTTGGGAGTCTTCCTACGCTTGGAGCTTCTGCTCAAGGAGCAGATAAGAAGCTGTGGTTAATAGGACTCTTGCATAATTTCCTCTGTTCCATTAACTGTAGCCATTCCTGGATCAAGAAGCCTTTTTTTTTTTTTTGCAATATCATAATCACCTCTGTTTGAATTACTATGTAGTAATGCATTCTACATGGAATTGCCCTTGAAAAGCATTCAGAAGCTACACCTGGTATAAAATGTGTATGAATGCCCAGATAGAAGTATATGTATCCCAATTATTCAGCTGATCCCATTATTGTAGAAGCTATATTGATTGCCGGTTGGCTTCCAAGTGTGATTCAAGGTGGTGTCACCTTTTTGACTGTTGTGGTCTGCCAGCAGCCTGTGGAGACGGAAGCAGAATCGGACAGTGGGGAAGAACATGGGCAAGTCCGGGACTCTGGGGAGGACTTGGAAGATGGTCCTTCATCTGATACAGAAATGGGGCCAGGGCCATCTGGGAATTATGTGCTGACTCCAGAACCTCCAGAATCTGACAGCAGTAAGGCAGAGGAACAAGGGAAACCTGTTCCCAGTGTGCATGTGCACAGAGCTGCCAGACTTGGGAGTAAGGCTTGGAGGTGATTGTTCTCCCATAAGATAAAAAGGAAGTACAGAGGGACAAGAACCTTTGCAGGAAGCAACGTTGTTCACTCTGGTTGGTTTGGTACCTGAAAGCTCCATGGTGAATTTGTGCTCCGTTTGGTTTTGAAAAACTAATTGGTACTTTAGTAGTTGGCAGCACTTCAAATAAGATAAAGGTGCATTCTTATCAGACTTCTCTGGAAGAACTTTGGTAGACTTCGATGGGACTATTTATAACTGGTTGAGACTCGTTATGGGCTGTGAATGATGATAATTCACAGCTGTTAAACTAAAATAAAAGGGTTCTGGATTTAACATGTGTCTGTTGGTGTCTCAGGAAGCCTTGGTCAGAATAGTGATCCTATATGGCTCTGAACATGTTTATCTCTGGAACTGCCTCCTCCTTTTCCTCCTTTATTCATCTAATTATCTGACAGATCAAAAGACTTAATTCCCCCAAGACCTCATCTATCTGAAAGTGCCATTGGACATAGAATAGAATAGAATTCTTTATTGGCCAAGTATGATTGGACACACAAGGAATTTGTCTTGGTGCAAATGCTCTCAGTGTACATTAAAAAAAAGATACATTCATCAAGAATCATAAGGTACAACACTTAATAGTCATAGGGTACAATAAGCTATCAAATCATACTAGGAAACAGTCAATAATCATTAGGATACAAGCAACAAGGTTATGTCGTACAATCATAAGTGTGAGGAAATGGGTGAAAGATGGAAGGATTAATAGTAATAGTAATGCAGACTTGGTAAATAGTTGCCCCTATGCATTGGCATTTCCTCCCTAGGAGAATTCTGCTTATTACCTCTTGGTTTCAGGAGATGTTTGGCTTTGGTCTCTAGCCCAGGAGAAGGCATGTTCTGAATGTTGGAATACAGTGGTAGACACATGGCTTTGTTTTGTTTTTTGTTTATCCGTTATGTTGTTGAAATTTTCATTTCCCCCTCCCAGTGGGATTATTTATTTTTCTTAAAACATTTTTAATGATGATTGTTAGCTACACAGAGCTATAGTAAATACCTGAATTCTATGTGGTTTTGCTAAAAGGCCATTTGGATAATTTCTCAGTAGAAATTTTTAACTGGTTGACGCTAAAGCAGTTTCATCAATACAGTTAAATGATACACGTTTAAGTCCTTCTTGGTTTATTTTTGAATAATTACATTTATCTCATTCATTTTGTTTACAGGATGCCAAACTGGGGTGGAGGCAAGAAATGTGGCGTATGCCAGAAAACCGTGTATTTTGCAGAGGAAGTACAATGTGAAGGCAATAGTTTCCACAAATCCTGCTTTTTGTGCAGTGAGTATTCAAGTCCAAAGTTTTATGTTTTAGTTTGGGTTTTTTTACCACACTAATATGCTGTACCCAACTTACTTTAACCGGAATTGTATATCAACAGTTTCTTTCAGCTGCAAGTGAGGAGTAAGTTGACAAGGGGTTTTGCGCTGTGCCATCACAGAGCAATCTTTGTTTTAATTTATTGCAAAATCAGTTGGAAGAAAAAAATGGAAGGAAAGCTGATGAAAATTAGATATTTGTTATCAGCATATTTTCACCAAAGGCATTTATAGTTACATAGCTCTTTTCTTATCTAATGTATTGCTTTACCTTAAAATTCTTAGCTTCTGAATTTAAGAATTGTTAGATCGGTTGAAATAGAACAAATTGATCTGTTTTCATAGGAAGGTATAATATGAAACTTAAATAGTATGTCAACAAAGGAAGAAGAGAGAAAAGATGTTAAAAGAGTATAAGAAGCCATCTCTTCCTGCTAGGAAAAAAAAACAATCCATGTACTATATACATTACAATATACATAAAATGTAATTTTTCAACATGGAATTACTTAATTGCTTTTTCCATTGTGTTAATAAAAAGCTAGGTCAATATGTTTCTTCAATACAGTATTCTAAAAATCCAGAGAAATCATTTCTAACTATTCAAAATTATCTTTTTTTGGCTCTACTCCAATTACTATTACACCAAACTTCTTCCTATGTTAATAAAATGTAATTTAGCATTAACATACTTGGAAAAGACATATTTTCCAAAACCAAGCTTTTGTCCTTCTGGGATTAATGGAAAAACATTACTTTGACTAAATTAAAGCATTCTCCAGCATCACATTTAACTTTTGGCAAAAAGTAAAGCCAATCCCCAGCCACGTTATCAGAGGGGTCAATTAATAACTTTCTACTTGTGCACATATTGCCATTTCCCTTTTTAAAAAAATCACTCTTCCACAAAATAAGTCAAAATATAAGCCCCTGGTAAAGTTAAAAATCTGGAAAATTAACCTCTCTGTTACAATTTAAATAGAGAAAACCTATAGTTCTGTTTTGTTTCACTTGGAAAACTAACACATTCATTTCAGCTTTTTCGTTCATGGGATGGAAGAATTTATAACAAATGTTTTCTGAGTTATAAGTATGATTGAGACTGGCTGAAAGAGCAGAAGAAAACACATATGAAATCTATATACATCATTAAACATTGATGATATTCAAAAAGTAGTTCTGAAGACAGTTCATACTTTATGTGCACAATAGCTACAATGGTTTTATTCATCACTCTAAGCCAGGTATCGGCAACCCACAGCTCTGAAGCCGCATGTAGCTCTTTCAGCCCTCTGCTGTGGCTCCCAATGCTGCTACTGCTGCTGCCTCCATGGCTTGCCCGCCATGAGCAGCATAGTGAAAGTTGGTGCATTTCACAATGGGGGAGATGAGATCCCCTCCTCCTCCTGGAGCCCATTACAATGCGGAACCACAATGTGACCCTTCCCATTCGCCTCTGGAAACAGCAGCAGTATTGGCCCCAGTGCGGGGTGGGCCAGTGTCTCAGGGTGGAGAGCAGATCACGCATCCAGCACCTACCAAGGCCGGAAATAGCTGCCCATCGTTTCCTGCTTCACTAGGGCAGCGAGAGAGAGACAGAGAGAGATTCGGCTCTGTCTGCTCCCCTCTCTCCACCTTTGCCCAGTATTGCAAGGATTTAGCGGATGCTACTTTGGTGATGGGAGGGGGTCATCCTGTATTTTGCCTGCCAAGTGACTTTGGGGGGGGACTATATTTTCCAGTCACTTTAGACCGAATATCAGGATGCATATGCGTGCTGGTGTGAGTATGCTACTGCTTGATGAAGTGAGTGCGGCGATCTAAAGTGGCAACCACATGGCGCTGCGATGTAACAGCCTGACAGTTACTCCTTTTGCAATGCAAGGTTTATTTTCCTGTCTTTCCAGAGACAGAGAGAACGTGGCCGAATTTCCTTACAGTTATTCCCTGGGTATATGGGTTGAGAAATGGGGATGAGGACACACGTCCCCTCTCTCTGACCCCTTCTCCTTTATAAATACATAAATGTTATTACTCTTGTTCTCTAACTTTCTAATGCAAGTAGAAACAGATTATTCTTACTAGAAGATCAAACTGATTGGTTGCAGAAGGCTTTTGGAATTAATGAAAGATTACATAAAAATCAGTTGAAGTTGTATATATTACATTACATTGCAATATTATATTACACCAACCTATACTGTAGGTTGCCCGTTTCTGATCAGGAAGTTTCTGACTAAAGAAAACAGAGAACCACCTACTTAGATCAAATGTTGATCTCTATTTGCCTTTTCACGGGAAAAACAAATTAGGAAGCTGTACTTCCTAGAGAACGCCCAGATTTCAAATTAAGAGTTTTACAACTAGTTTTAGATATCCAAGTCTGTTGTCAGATTAAAGGTTCATTAGTCAACAAAACAAAATAAAAATTCAAATGATTCACATGAGAAGGATAAAGGGGAAGGCTGGTTCTATTATTTTTAGTTTCATTCACTAGTTACAGCAACATATTTTCAATACTCTTGCTACTCAATTTTGTTGACATACTCTTGCTAAGTTACAAGTTTCTATAACACAAAAGCTTGATTTATTGAAAGATATATCATAGCAATCAACAAATAGGACCCAGTGAGCTAAATAGAATCACCCCTTGGTCTTGTGTAGAATTACAGCCTAAATAATTTTGCATTCTATTTACTGCTAGCAAATATATTTCAATTGGTAAATATAGATTTTTTTATGTATTCTGGGTAAATTATTTCATATTAGCATCTGATCTCATTACTATAGATATTGTGATTCTGATCTACTCAACAGTGAACTTGTAGATTTTATACCTCTAGAGCCACCTCCCTCCCCCAGTAAAGCTGGGAATACATACAGCCTCTGCACCAGCTGATGTTTAGATTTTAATAGAAAGCTTTTTGTTCTTATTCACAGCCCTGTTATTGCATCCAGGGTTGATTTGTATTCATGCCAGTCAGCTGACCTTTTGTTTTTGCTTAGGAATCTCATGTATCCTAAGACTTGTTTTGCTTGTTGCATAAGCTAAATGGTAGCTAGTAGGAGGAAATATAATGAATAGTATGCATGACCTGGAGTTCCCTCAAAACATTAAAGGGATTGAGCTCCTTGAGGTTGACCTGCCACAGTAGCTGGAAGCCATGTTTTTCCCAGAAGTGGACAATTGTAAATACCATTGTACCAAAGATACTGCCCTTGGAGCCTACTTGACTTTTAAAAGAAATCTTAGCCCTAACATCTATGGATGTAGAATTTGGATCTAAAATGAGGGAATTCTTGATTCCATTGAGATTATTGTTGCAATACAATTCACAGTACTAATTCAGAAAAAAATCAGTATTTCAATCTAAATGGTTAACTCAGATTGACTCAGTTCAGAAAATCAGTTTGTAAGTATCTAATTTTATTCAACATTTGCATGAATTATCAGACCAGTTCATGTTTTTAAATAGTTTTACTATAGCACTAGCACTTGGAGTGCTTTACAGCCCTCTCTAAGCTTATAGAGTCAGCATATTGCCCCCAATAATCTGGGTCCTCATTTTACCAACCTTGGAAGGATGGAAACCTTAAGCTGCTCAAAATCAAACTCCTGAGCAGTGAGTTAACCTGCAGTACTGCTTTCTAACCACTGCACCATCATTGCTCTTATAAATTACAATTACAAAGAAAAACTAACAAAAATTAAAAAAATTCAGAAAAGAACAAAAATAAGAATTAAAGTAAAGAAAAAGAAAAGAAATTTATAAAGAAATGGCTTCCCCCTCATTACAAGTATAAACAATGTTAATTTATCACCTCTTTTTTTTTCTTCCATTCAATCGTGACTGATTCTCAGAGATCACCTAGAAGAGTCCCTGTGGTGGATATATTTATTTGAATATTGAGTCTTTTTATTTACCACATATGTATTTTACTTCTGTATTTTCTTTGATCTATTTTACCCTGGAATTAGATCCTGTATTTTATTTTTGTTTTACATTTTTGATATGGTCATAAGTTTCCTGCCCCTTGCTCCTGAATGCTTCCAAAACAGCTTGGGACTGGCAGTTAAACACTACAAAGGCTTCCATACAAATTAGTTTATTGGGTCCATTAGATATTCTCAAATCCTAACTTACTGTCACGCAGAGATTCTTCCAATGTCCAATCTTTGCCTTAATAGTGTGAAAGAAGATGACCTTTATCCCATGGCTTTAAGAGCAAAAGAAATCCCCCGCCGATGCTGGGATCCAGACAAGAATGCCAAAGAATTCCCCCTGTCCAACCAGAGATTAACTCATTGGCCAATCAGTACAGATTTGACCACGTGACATAAACTGCACTTCCCATGAAGCATCAACTACATTTTCCATGAAGCATTCCCTTAAGGGGGAAACTCACATTCCTAAACTATATACTGTCTAACCAGCACAATAAGATTAACCAATTAATAAACTATACTATAATCTATATTATACGAGACAACCCATGACCCACTGGATTATTCTTTCAGATATATTCACTAGTGCAGAAGGACTGGCAGAGATTGCATAGAATTACCCAAGCAAGTTGAGACCTTCCCTGCAAGGTTTCCCATTGACGTTCTTCCTGGGAGAAGAGAAAAAAAAAGAGAATCCTGGGCTCAAAATAGGCACTATCTTTCTCTGGAATTGTGCATATGCTGCAGAATTGTTAAAGGGAGGGCATTGTTGTTTTGTTTCTTTGTAGTTTCTTCTCAATACACAAACAAACACACACAAAAAACACATGTGCACGCATGCACACACACACACACACACACACACTCAAATATTGAAGATTTGATAACCAAAGAAGTGGATTAATATTAGGAATTTTGTAATAATTCATCAAAAATTTGAAGAAACAGTTGGGTAACTTATTATTTTCTAAGATAGAATCAAAACTTTTGTGATAGTAATACGGACAGCTTTGGAAAAATAAAATATTCATAAAAGATAATGCCTTAAATATGGCTCTGCCAGTACAAGGAAACGTTTTATCTTAAAATGCCAGTTTTCAAGCCACAGTGATTTATAGGATTTCAGGAGCAGGCAAGCACAAACTCCATTCCAGGACAATAAAAGAAGAATTAGCTGTTTCTTTATGGGAGGGGAGAGTTCTTCTAAAGATCCTCCTTTCATGGCTAAACATTTTATTACTTCTCTGCCTGGTGGTTTTCTCAGCCAACCCTTTGCCAGCCCAGGGAGACAAACGCCATATTTGGTCAACAGGATGAGAAATTCAGCCTTCGTGTTTTCCATATATAGAGACTGCTCCTACTGTTGCCTCTACTGCATTCCTGAGAGGATATTTGGTTTTCTGTTTGCATTCCTTAAGACTAAGACAATTTATTGTGGCTCAAAAGGAAACTCTGTTAAAGGCTAGCTGCTATGGTCCATCACAACAAGAAGAGAGCTTCGGTTGTAGCCTATGCTGCAGCCAAGTTATATATATATTTCTTTTTACAGGCAATTGCTGTTGTAATCATGTTACTAAATGGGCAGAATCCAACCTCTCTGGCCAACACACACACACACACACACACATTAAATCTATACTCTGTCTATATTAGTATCTATGCCTATAGTCTAGTTCTAAAATAGCCCTGTGAACAGTTTGGTCTTCTGTTGGTTGAATTATAGTAAAGCAGATTTCTTGGTCATGAAGGTTGTTAGCTTCAGATGATGTCAATTGCTGTCATGAATTCTGGCTCTAGTGTTGACTTTTTACAGTAACTCAGTCTATGTTGATTGTGGGGTGAGTGGGAAGAGAAGATGCTTTAGTAGCTGGCTGATGGCTCTCAGCATCTCTGCTGGAATGAGGAAGCTGATGGGTTCAGTTTCTCCTTTTGTTTTGTCTGTTGTTAGTTTACTAGAATCCATGCCTTCTCCTTCACCCTTAGTCATCTGCTAAGCTGTACTTTATTCTGATGGCTGTTCCTCTTCTCTGCTTCCCCAGCATAAGAATATTTCCACAATGCAACCCATCCTCAGATGCTAGCAGCACTTTCCATTTATGACAGGATAACCAGTTATAACCAATTATAACCAGGCATTGATGATGTTACCTAGTTAGGGTAATGAAACATCTGCAAGAAAACAAGCAAGGTCAGAGAGCACCAAGGACCCCTTATAACAGGCATGTCCAGGTGCTCCTTGAGCCATTTAATGACCTAGGAAGAAAAAACAAAGGAAAGACCAAGGTCATGCTGGCCACTCCAAGGCTGATTTAACCATTTTTAAGACACATCAAGCAATATACTATTACTGCTAATTGTAGAAATCTAAATATACTGCAAATAGAATGCCATGGAATTGGCTTGAAAAATACTGAGGTAAACAAGAAAACTTCATTATATAGGCAATAGAGTAATAAATACAACATATGCCTCATGAGCGATCCAGATTTTGCATAAAAAGACAGAAAAATCTTAATGTGTATTGGCCACTCTCATACTTGAGACTATTTCTTTTGATGAATATCAGTTTGGTTGTCTTGGTGGTTTAAATAATGTGGTGTTTCTTTGGTATCTACCATTTTTTTCCTCTGAGTATCTTGCCTGTTGAGCCCAATTCTCTATTTCCTACCTGATTTTTTAAAAACTCAACTACACAACCTATGTTTATGATCAAAATTATCTCTATTAATGTGATGTTTTACCTTTCCCTGTGTATTTTTTCTAGACATTATATGGGACAGTCTACAATAGGAAAAAGGGGTTACAAGTCCAATAGCATTTTTTTCAATAATAAATTTTATTAAGAAGCATACGCTGTTGAAAGACTCCCAATTTTTTTTCTGTTTTTTTCTGTCTTTCTATTTGTGAATGGAAGTTCAGAAATAAAATAATAGTTTATGGCTGACCAAATTGCTCAAGTTAAGTTGTTCTGTACAAATCCTTACTTGTAGCTTCTTTGCTCTGTGTGATTTCTCCAATTAGATCCTTTTATTTTTGCCGTGTTAAAGAAAATGTGTGAGAGAAAAATATTAATTTACTATTTCCAGAGCTTCAACCCCCAAAAAAACATAGAGGTGCATTTAAAAAAAAGAAAAGAAAAATGAACTGTAGAACATCCTGATAGATCAGTCTTTTATCCAACTTGGTTCCCTCTGTTATAATTGTAGACCAACATTATAGAAGGCACTAGCTTGGAAAAGATGGTAATAGATCTTCCATGCTGAAACTTGTTCACCCTGTATAATGTACTATTTAGTGGTATTTAGCGATTCCACAAATATCCTAGTTGCCTATATTACAAATCAGGTCTCATACTTAAGCTTATAAAGGTGACATTTTTTTTATCTTTGTCCTTCCCAAATGGTTGTAGTGGTTTGCAAGAAGAACCTGGATAGCACTACAGTGGCTGTGCATGGAGAAGAGATCTACTGCAAGTCATGCTATGGGAAGAAATATGGACCGAAAGGCTATGGCTATGGACAAGGAGCTGGGACCTTAAGCATGGACAAGGGTGAAGCATTGGGGATCAAACCTGAAGAGTGAGTTGTACTAATAAGAAATCTGCAAAGTGTGATTGCTTAATATATTGATTTGAATTTATATCATTATTCAAACACTTGTGGTTATGAAGAAAGTAGATGCCACCTAGATAAAAATCCAATTTGCAGCGAAGTAGGCTATTATATTTCTTCTGTTATGAAACATAATCCTAGGTCCAAAATGCAATTCATTGTAAACCTACCTAGATAGAATTATGACCTCTTTATATGAAATGCTAGATTTTTATTGAACTATAAAAATAGTGGGTGAAAGAAGATTGATAAATGTGTATACCCAGCATTCTTTAGGTCCCTACAAAGTCTTGTTCTCTGTTCAAATGTACATGTTTTTACTTGTGAGAAATAAGCATAGATAGAAGAAATGTGGCTACCAGAAAGTGTTTGGCCAGTATTAGTTTGCATTCCCTGAGATTTTGGAGTGGAAAGCAGAGCAACTTACTCAGTAGCAGAGGCAGGAGTTATAAGAGGTTTTTAAAGCCAATTAGATGTTCAGAGCAAAAGCTTGGAGGTGTCTTTGATCAGTAATTTTTGTATAGAAAAATACCTATAGCAAATTAATTTGAAGGCTATAAAGTACAGAATTATGAATTTGTTGCAGAAAACCTTTAAACCAGCCCGTTTTTGTTTTTTAATATATTTTTTTAAAGAATTACAAAAACAAATACAAACTAAACTGAGAGAATGGAAGGGAAAGAAAAAAACAGTCTGTTTTGTAAGACATTGTCAATCTTTTTTCAGCTTGAGTATTTATTAACCCATTAGCATAGCGATAACAATATTGGGAATATAAACAAACTCAGTAGTCTTATAGTGTTTAATACTATGGTTTCAAAATTATGAATTTTTACTACTTTCTCTTACATTCATAAGCCAAAATGAAATAAATAATCAAAACCAGCCTTATTTTTTATGTATCTGTGCCTAGGATACTGATGGTTTCTCCCCACACACCCAAAATTACTCTCTGATATTCTCTCTACACACTCATGGAAATATGAAATAATTCTTTTTTTTTGCTTTGGCCCCACAGATCTCATCCCCATTATCCAACCAACAATCCTAATGCATCCAAGATTGCCCAAAAAGTGGGTGGATCTGATGGCTGTCCTCGCTGTGGACAGGCTGTCTATGCTGCAGAGAAGGTGGTTGGGGCTGGGAAGGTAAGAACTATTATTAGTAGATAGCAAGTGTATTGGGCTTTCTCTTTTTTGAATATATAAAAGTCTGCATGTTACATTTTAAATTAATTTTGCTAGCTATACTTGTGTGTCAAATTCATAAGTGAATATGTTTGTAGGAAAGAATAGAATACTCTTCCCTGAAATTCTGTGCTTCATGTGGAGAATGTGGTGTCTTTCCTGATACTCTTAATGCACAACTCCCAGCATTCTTCATCACTGGCTGCTAGGGATTTTATTCATTAATACTCAGGATGACTCAGTTTCCTATCATTACAATAAAAGCTAGCGGTACAATTGAAGCTAAGTGGTTATCCAAGGCTATCATTATTACAAAGAAAGGTGATTGGGGCATGCATCTGAAAATAAATAATCACTTGCTACATATGGATACTGTTGTGCATAATCTGTAAATTTGATGTTGCAAATATGTTCTGCGAAGTCTGATAAAACATGCAGAATCCACTTTCTTTGTGATAAAATATTACAATTGTCTTTCAGAACAAATGGAATATTTTTGTACAGGCCAGTATAAGAAATGGGAAGCTGATAGAATGGCCACTGGCCTTTGTACCTCAATTTTATGGAGGGCAGTGCTTTTCTAGTCAAGCTCATGTAGGATGTCAGTGTCCCTTTGAAGTCAATTCACTTCCATGCTAACAATATGTGTTCTGTATTATGCTCAGTCATGGCACAAGGCCTGCTTCCGATGTGCAAAATGTGGCAAAGGCCTGGAGTCTACAACTTTAGCTGATAAAGATGGAGAAATCTATTGCAAGGGTAAGGATGTCTCCCTTATGTTCATAACTAATGGCATATAATGATTAGTATTGGATGGATGCTAATGCAGGAGATGTTCTCTTATGTAAAAATGTTGCAAAATCTAAAAATACTGTTTATGCAATGATTATGATTTGGAGGTTCAGGTGAGTGCCAGGCAGAAACACTCGTTTACTTGTTTGATTGCAATTTGATTATGGAGCAGTGTGCCTCAGGTTATCTACTTGAGAGATGCTCTCTAATGATGCGTTTGGGTGTATAGGATACTATACCAAGCCACAGTTCTTCCAATTGCTTCATTTAGCTGCACTTGCCAGTGGGAATGGCTAAACAAGCTAGATTAATACTGGGTAGAAGTCCCACTGATCAAACCTCTACTATATTTTATAAAAAGGGCATGACAGGTCAGGTGGGGGAAAAAAAGTATGTGTTGGAAAATGGAGTTATGTCTTAAAGCAGAAAGACAGAAAACAGAAAGCTCTTGTTATCTAAGCACACGTTCATTGATAACTCTGTAAAAATGTTTACTATTTATGAGGTCAGAGCTGTGTTTAATAGCTGATCGTTTCTTCCGCTGCTTCTCTCCCAACAGGTTGCTATGCCAAGAACTTTGGACCCAAAGGCTTTGGCTTTGGCCAGGGAGCAGGAGCACTTGTCCATTCTCAGTGAAGAACTAGATCCCAGCAGCTTTGAAGCATCCTTCCCAGCACTTAATGCTTCGCCAGCGCTGAGTTTATCCAATCCGATCCTTAGCAAGAATAAGGCTATCTCACCCGTTTGTACGTATTAGTCATACAGTAACAACCTGCTGCTCCTTTTTGCTAGATGGGCAATCTTTGAGAGGGCCTTGTTCCACAGGTCCTTTGAAACCATACGGTGGCCTCTCACTTCCCATGGCTCATATTAGAATAATGGCCTCCTTTAACATATGTTCATGCTTTTCAGTTTTTGTTGACGTTTCACATGGCAGCAGACCACGTAGCTGCTTTTGAATAATGAATACTGCAACAGTTGCCTTCCAAAAAATATTTTTCCCAATCTGGACCAGCATAAATAATTCTTGTTAGAATATATTTTTTGATACTAAATTACACAGTAACTATGATACTAAGTATTGTGGAAAGTATAAGTGATTGTTATGTGCCTAGGATGCAAAGCTGCAAATTAAGAAATTGCCTAGAAGCACAATAAAGCACATTCCTCAAATTTCAGAGGAAACATAAATAAAAAAGTCTTAGCTCTCAAGTTTAACTAAATGTTGCATTTTCAACAGAATATATATATTAATAAGTCACTAGTTAAGCTGCTTTTGTACTTTGGTTTGGTAGAATTCAGTTTGATTTTCAAAATTTCAAAGACCAAATTTCCCAGTTTTTGTAGATCCATATGCATCTGAGTTTTTTTTAACATTCCTAAAATGTTTACGCATTTAGAGATAAACAGAATCTACAACTTTTTCAGATTTCATTTTTTTTTTTAGAAAACTGTGATTGATGTCCAGTTAGTTGCTGCTTCATTTTTGCATTTTTCCACTTAGCTGAATAATTATTAGATTCACATATTGCACTAAGCTGAAGTGTGGTTTGGTTGATTTTGGCTTGGTATGATATATAAACCCAACCATTACCATTTAGAAAACTTGGCTTTGTGTGATGTATGAACCAAACAAAATAGCCTGTTCATTTAAAAACAAACCATCTTAGATTCTTTGCCTTAGAATGATAAATGAATCCCTATTGGTAAAATTTAAAAGATTAAGATGGATTGGAATTCCTTTTTTAAACTATGGAAAAGTAAACATTGTAGACATCCTCATCTTTGGGACCGGAGTTGACAGTTCCAGTTCTTCCCTTTGTTAAACCTAGAAGACTCCTGCGTTCACAATCTTGGTTGTGATTTTTTTATTTTATTTTTTTAACTAAAAAACTGAAGTGTTACCCAGTTCATGGACTCATATTGCGCTAAAGTTTTATATGAGCCTGATGCACATATTTTTCATTTATAATTCAGCCTATTTAAAGTTTAGTTCCCATTCAGTACTTAATATGGGATTAAATTAAAATGCAGTAATTCTGTAGACACAAGATAAATTATAGCAGTAGCATTTTAAAATTTTGTTATTATTAAACTTGTCCATTGCTTCGAAAATAAGTTAGAAAATAAGCTTCCAAGTGCATGTAGCTACAATAGTAGTAATTGCAATTGTCCAAACATGACTTTCCAAAGATTTTTCTATGGTGGCAGGGACCAGCCATAATATGCTCATGAGAAAATATATGATTTCTTTAAAATGAATTAAACAGGTGCTACCTTTATGCATCCCTGTGCTTTGAAGTTTTCTTTTGAAACTGAACCCAAACTGTTGCAAATATCTATTACAAACATAAACTATGTTCAGAGAAACTTCTCTGCCTTCAATAAAGCAGTCAAAAAGAATCTCATGTGTCTTACGAAATTTTATTTTCTCAAATAATTTGTTGGAACAAATTTATGAGAAGGGGCTCAGGGTTTCTTTATCTCTTCATCAGCAGGATGATCCTTTGAAAACAGAACAGTCAGGCCAAATTTAGTATGGCAGAAGATGATGACAAAAGAAGGCCAAAGATCCAAAATGGGTCAGATTCAGCTAGAACTGGGACAGGAAAAAAATCACCCAGAAAAATTAATTTATTCCAAAGGAGGCTTTTCTAAAGCTTCCCTTCTTTTTTTTTATTAATTTTTTATTGAAAATTAAAAAACATTGAACATGGTGATCTTCTTGACATATATCACAGTCTTTGCATTGTTATAAGAGCAAAATGTCATCAAGCAGTATAAACATTTATATACATATATACAGCTATATACATATTTACATTGTAAACTTCGTATCCATTTTTATCTTAGACATTTTGTTGCAGTAAAAACTCTTAAATTCTATTTTACTTTTTTTACTTCCTTTCATATCCCTCCAATTATAATTTTTTTCCATATTTCAGAGAATTCTGAAGTATCTTGCTCCTTCAGTTCTAATGTCAAGCTATCTAACTCGGCGCATTGAAAAAAAAAATCTATTATTACTTCATCATTCGGTATTCCTTTTAACTTTCATGTGTGGGCAACTGATAGTCTTGCAGCTATGATAACATGAATAATTATATATATATATCTGTTTTTTTGAAATTCTCATATATTATTCCTATTAGGAACATTTCTGGTGTATAATTTATTTTTAGGTTTAACATTTCCTCTAACCATTGCCAAATTTTATGCCAAAATTCTTGTATTTTCTTGCACTCCCACCACATGTGATAATAAGTGCCCGTTCTTTCAGACATTTCCAGCATACCAATGATTGAGAACTATACATTTTAGCTAATTGGGTAGGTGGGAGGTGCCACCTGTAGAACATCTTAAACAGGTTTTCTTTATAAGATGTGGCTATTGTAATCTTTTAATTCTTATCCCAGATTTGCTTCCATCGATCCAAATTTATGTTATAGCCAAAATTTCTAGCCCAAGTTAACATTGGTTCTTTCAGCTTCCCTTCACATAACTACTCCCACTTGCATGACCTGCTGGGTCTTCCATTAAAGAAATGGAAGCAGTTCCAGGAGCCTAATATGGTATGCTTGCTTTTAATAAGCATAAAGAAACCCGCCACTTTTAATTCATGGGGTGAGGGCCTGAAGATTTGTAGTCAAATCTTTACCATCTGAGATCAGAGCCAAGAGGATATGATTTTTTCCCCTTGCATTCTCTTCTGTATCCCCCTCTCCTTTCTCATGCCTGTCCAAGGGACACCAGAGTAGAGCATCTCATTCCAAGAATCACTGCTGGAAATCATGTGATCCTCCAGTTTGATCTCAGGAGGCAAATTCTATTTTTGGGGGGGGGGGGGGCGTGTTGGGAGAACATTTTGGAGTGTTGGGGATTTTTCCAGATGACAGGAGAAAAGACCAATCAGAACGCTTGAGTCTTATGTTTGCAGCTTCCGTGTCTGAATGAGACACAACTAAAAGTGGTTCTTTTCAGATGAACTTCATGCATTAAAACCTGTCCCTTTCTTTAGCGCAAGTGGAGGCAGTAGGCTCCTTCCGCAGTGTAATTTAAACATTGTTTTGTGCTACATTCATTTCCATTTTAGTTTTAAATTTTTGTCTATCCTGAAGTCTCAAGGCAAATACTTTTTTTTTGTTCCTCATGTCAAAGAGGAGAATCTATTGGTATTTTTTTCTGCTCTGCTTTTATTCACTTAACTGGATTTTTTTTTCTTCATTTCCTTGAATCTGTTCTTAAATTAATTTTCTCCCTTGTTCCTATAAGCTAAAACCATCTCAGCTCTCTCCTTCTTTCAAGGCAGGAAATATGACCCAATATGACCCTAGTGGTTTAGAATATTTATACACACACACACACACACTTTAAGTATATGGGCAACAAATTAAATTAGAACCAAAGTGAAAAAATAACATAAAAAGTAACAATGCAAGGAGGAATGAAAATAGAACAAGTAGAAAAATAGATTTAAAGAAAAAATATAAAGACATAAATAAGTTGCCTTGGATATTCTTCACTGCATCACACCACATTTTAACCTCTCTCTCTGAAGTAACACTGTGACTTTTTTCCTTTGGTTTAGAGTGATTTAGAATCACTTAAAGTCACTTGATGCAAGTTCATTGTGTTTTGAATATAAGCATTTCACATGCAAATTTGCAGCAACACAGTTGTGCTCTTGCTTTTGTGCCCTTCATGTTCTCAAAAGGACTGCTGACCTCTACTGGCAGTATTCTGGATATTACATATAATATCTGTTTTCTAGGCAGACACTGAACATTCCTAGCTAGGACTTCATTCTCAAATAAAAATGCCTGATTTCCTATCCATGTGTGGAAGAGAAATGAATGTTTAAGAAAAATGTTTTAACTAAGTTGGCCAAATTTAATGTGTTGAACATTTCAGGTTGGGGTCTGTATTTAGTTCAAACAATATACTAGTCTTCGGAACAAATAAATAAGTATTTTAAAATCAAGTCTAGTTAAAATAACAGCTGTAAAACCATTGTTCTATTCAGTGGATTCAATGGATAATAATTCTGGTTTATAAGGCAGGCAGGAGGAAGGAAGTTGGGTGGGGGAGAGAAGAGTTAAAGGAGGCAGCCAAACAGGATAAAAAGACAATCGTTGTTAAAAGAAAAAATAACTACTAGTATTTCATGTGGCGGTCATTCTATAAGAAAAAACCCAGGAAGTTTTATTAAATTTCTTTAAAAAGATAAATAACTTATTATCTGTATGACCTGTTCATACAATGTTACCAAATAAAAATTGTTAATTGTCCATAATCATAAAGTCCTCTGAAGAAATGAGAGAATACCCTCCCTCATACAATGCTATCAGGAAAAGAACTAATAATAAAGAAAATGACAATGTATATTTATTTGGCTGGGTAGCTGTGAGATGTTAAGTTATATGTATTAACACAAAAAATAAAATAGACAAATATATTTGTTTCATTCATGTTCTGACTTTCATTTATTAGCTCAAGTCAACACTTCCTACTTTTCTACCATAATAGCTATCTGATAAAGCAACTGACAGGCATTACTGCCAGTGAACTGAGAGGCATCACTCACCCAAAACAACCCAGTGAACTTCTATGGCTGAGGACAGACCAGAATCTGGTCTTCCCAATTCTTATTCAACACCTTAACCACTACATTGGCTTTTTCTGTCATAGCAGACCAAATAAATCCCATTTTGCAGCAACTGATTGTTAAGCGAACCATGTGGTCATTAACTAATTCAAACATATCTAACAGCCGTTTTTTTGTTGTTTTGTGCTAGGTAATGACAAAAAAAATAGCAAATCAGTCACATGACCATGGGATGCTACAACTGGTTGTAAATGTGAGCTGATTGCCTAGTGCCTGAAATGCAATCATGTAACCATGGAAACGGGAGGGATATATAGCAGTCTTAACTTTGAGGACTGGTTGCAAGTAGCTTTTTCAAAATCTCTCCTAACTATGAATGGTGGTTAAGTAACTGGTTGTAAGCCAAGGACCACCAGTAATAGAAAAAGAAAAAAGGGAATTCAGAAAGAGCTACCTGAATTTATAGAGAAAAATATTCTCTGTAGAAAGAAAATGGGATGCTAACCCTATGGATTAAAAATGTTGGATGAAAAAAAAAATCATGATTAATATAACAAAACATGCTTAATTTACTAAATATAGCAAAACAAGCCAACACAAAAGAGGGAAACACAAACAAAGATACAGTATCCTTTATGTGATTTATCAAACTATCTATTCAACTATATTGCATTTCTACATCTATTTATTGAATTTTGTAGTGGATAGCTGTCTCAATAGGGTCACAAAAACCTTCTCGGCTTCAGATTGTGAGCCTATTCTGCTTTGGGATAGTAGCTTGGTAGGCCCTGGGACACACTGTCTTCCAACAGGCAACTCACATCTTTTCCCTGACCCCAGTTTGTGAGAAATATTGATTCTCTCACTGATTATAAAGTCAAAATGAATATTATTATTTTACTAGGGCAACATCCTTAATGTAGAACTTTTCAAATTACAGATAACAACTTAAGAGAAAATTTCAGAATAAAATAAAATCTTCTTAGAAGAGTGTAAGAAGACATGGTTTGAATAAATAAAAAACTGCAAATTCAGAAAAATCACAGTCAAAATTCTAAAGAAAATTGTTATCTAAAAATTATAAAGATAAAATCACAAATACTACGTGAAAGATGGAGTAACAGTTGAAGTACACACCATTTTCTAACTTGTATAATAGTGAATTTCTGTTGTAATAAAATAACGATAGTAATTCTTATTGAAATAGGAAATAATCACAAAATAAAAGTCTTTGATTTAGCACCACACAGGAAAAAGAAACTGAATGCAAATTCATGGCTAGGCTGAAATTGTATTTTCTGTTTTTAAAGCAAACATTCCTCTATTCATTGTCAGGGCTTCAAAGTTAAGGAGTGCTAGCTTTGCTTAGTGGGATGCATTTCAACACTAGTCTTCCCCTTGATCTACAGCACTGCCTGTGAGTAAATCTATCTTAAAACATTAAGATAGCACCTATTTTGCAAAATATTGTTAAGTGGTATTAAGATCTTTGAACGCGTCCTTGATAAGCGCATTCGGGACATCGTCGACATCAGCGTCAACCAGGCTGGATTCATCAAGAACTGCGGCACCACCGACGCCATCTTCGGTGTGCGGATGCTGATGGAGGCTCACAGAGAGAAGAAAATCCCGCTCCACACCGCCTTCCTAGACTTGGAAAAGGCCTTCGACCGAGTCCCGCACGATCTCATCTGGTACGCACTGCGAGATCACGGCGTGCCTGAGCTGCTCGTACAATGGGTCCAACTCCTATACAGATGTCACAAAAGCCGTGTAAAAACGGCAGCTGGGATATCAGAGGAGTTTAATATTACCGTCGGCGTACACCAGGGCTCTGCTCTCTCACCACTGCTGTTCATTCTGGTGATGGACACAATTACACACGACCTGTACACGCCCGCCCCATGGACGCTGCTCTACGCCGATGATGTGTTCCTGGCCAACCTGTGCAAGGCTGAACTCGAGCACCGAGTCCAACAGTGGCACGACCGCCTCGAGCAGTTCGGGCTCCGGCTGAACCTAAAGAAGTCCGAATACCTGACCACTGACAATGAAATGACAGGCTCCATCCACGTGAACGGGCAGGAGCTACTGCGCGCCTCCACCTTCAAGTACCTGGGAACTACTCTTGGGGAAGAAGGCCTACTACAAACTGAGGTGGCAGCCAGGATCAATGCAGCGTGGGGCAAATGGAAGTCCGTCACGGGCGTCCTCTGTGACAAGAAGATGCCGATGCGCCTGAAGGCGAAAATCTATAACTCTGTGGTGCGCCCCATGGCCATATACGGCGCAGAGTGCTGGCCGACGACCAAAGAAGTCGAAAGCAGACTCCAGATAATGGAGATGCGAATGCTCCGATGGTCGGTAGGCCTCACCCTACTCGATCGCGTCAGGAACGAAGAAGTGCGTAGACGGTTCAACGTCGTGCCCATCCCCACGGTCATGAGGCAGTCCCGGCTACGATGGTTCGGCCACGTGAGCCGCGCCAAGGAAGAATCCATCATCAAATCTGTAATGAAGGTGACTGTCGGAGGAGCGAGACCGCGTGGTAGACCTAAACAACGCTGGATGGACACGATCAAGGCCGATCTAGAGATCGCGAAGGCAGACCCGACACACGTGGCAGACAGAGAGGTGTGGAAGCAGTACTCAAGGACATTAGCGGACCTCGCCCGAGCGCGAGACAAACGCTGAAGAAAAAGAAGAAGAAGAAGAAGATTGTTAAGTGGTATTTTACCTCCTGACATAGTCCCATCACAGCCTCAAAATCTGTGTAAAATGCATAATGTTTTACATTATAATGCCACGTTTTTGTTTTGGGGGTAGGTTGGGGTTCATCTAACCTGTTGTAGAATTGATTGGCAGTGTGTTTTAGGGCATGTTAAGGGGTAATCCTCTCCGCTCTGGTCTCCTAATAGTCTTTTTATTTCTTCCTTAGTACTGTATTTCTTGAATTCCTTCCATATCCTCTTGTTGCACTACTTCTGCTTTTAAATTCTTTTCTCCCGGTTTCCAACATGGTAGGAGAGTCAAGAGCAAGGCTCCATTAATTTGTTTGGATAACCAAATAAAGTTTATGGACACTATTCTTCTTTAACAAGTTACTGAAGTAATCTGATCTTAAAACTGTTATTTTACTCTTCCACTGATTAGTATTTTGAGAGGTATCTTTAACTTTAAATGCAACAGCTTTGCTTTTCCTGGTTGCAGGGTCCAGAAAATAGCAAGGAATAGTGAACTGAGATTTTTGTTGTTTGTCAGTTTAATTTCATACAGATCCCTCCTTTCATGATCCTCTTTTACAACACATTCCTTTTAGCTTCCTTTCGCAAAACTCTTTGTGCAGAGATACTATGTGATTTCTATATACTCCACTCTGAGTCAGCTTAGGACTGCAATGATAAAAATAGGGTAATTAGCGTACTATTGATTTCCTTCTTCCATCCTAGCTTTGTCTTCACTAAAGTTTCTGTGTCTTCAAGAACTTCTCATATCCTACTTAGTACATAAAGTATTGGGATATCAATACCTACTTACCCCAATACTCTCTCAAATTTCTGTCTTTGTTTGTCAGATATGTTTCTCATACTTGAACTTACTTTTTAAAAGAAATTAAAAAAATATTGGTGTGAATCTGGAATATTATTCTTGTAAGCTTCGATCCCAGGATTACAGCCCAGTTTTATTTTTGAACAGACACATTTACTAAAAGACAAGATTTTTCATGAGTCTCATTTCTGATAAAGTGAGTTGCAATTTACAGAAACATATACCTTTTAATTAAATGTGTTAAAAAGATGGATTAGCAGATAAGATTTTTTTTTGCTAGCACAAACTTAACATGCTTCTTCCTACATATTTTGGACTGGTGATTCAAAGCAGTAGCTTCATCACTAGAATAATTACAGCATGCTGCTACTGTGAAGTACATGTTTATTAAAATATCATTCAGCAAGAGCTTAACCAGCAATACTTAAAACCTAAGTCAATAATAGCAGTAACAGAATTAATGATTTATCCAATGCTACTTCTAAAAGTGTGGTATTAGACCTAAACACACTTCATAAATGATTCAGAAAACACACAGAGACACGGCCTAAACAATTGGGCTCTTCTAATGATTAACAGGGAAGTACTCAGACACAGTCCTAAGTATTTCTCATGAATTGTTTTTGAAATGTGTATAATCCTAAAAAATATGGTTTAGATAGATTGCCATAGGAATCTGCAATTTTCTTTCAAGCAAATGTACATAAAATTGCAATCTTCAGTTGTGTTAGAAGTATCAAGATAGATTGAATGGTTTGATACTTAGTGCAAGTACAACACTGAGATAAAAAACATGAGTCATGTTTCCCACATTTCTGTCCCAGTTTCCACTCCTCTGTTAAGAGTGTTCATGTTCCAAGTTGCTTTAAAATAATTTGCATATCACGTTTCTAATCTCCATAAACTTGGAGACAACAATTTACTTGATTTGCTATCTAATAACCTATCAGGAGATTCTCAGCGTTTTTTAGCTCAGCATTATGAAACACCTGCACAATTAAAGCCATGATTAAATAGTCAGCTGAGTTTATGCTCATAATTGCATGTGGGTGTATGCAGCTTAGGGGGACTACATATGAGTACCAGCCCCCCCCCCCCCCCCCCAAAAAAAGAATGATTGGAGACTATAATTTGAAGCAGAAAATGAATAGCTGGGAAAGATGCAACTCCTCTGCAAAAGGGAAAGAGAAGCCAGGTGTTTTGCCTCACAGAGGATTGTGAACCTCTGTCCTTGTCTTCTACCATTTATTTACTCTTGGTATCAGCCACTGCAAACCATTAACAGAACATCTGAGGAGTTGCACAGGAAAACAAAGCTGTGCTGTGCAAGCTGGACTACCAGAACACAGGGGCCCGATGTACATGTGGATACAACTTAATTTCTAGGATATGCAGAAGGTTCACAGGTCTACATTTTCACATGACTTCGCCTTTGGATAGGAGAACTTCCATTCTGCTCCTAAAATAACTGTTCTCATCGGACTTGTGCATGAGTCAAAACAATCAGGTGACAATCAGTTTTACTCATGTGTCCCTCCTCCACAAATCCTCTCTGCATAATTCAGCCTACCTCTCTTAAACATGTGCTAAGCACCACTTTTCTACTACCACCCTTTCCCCTCCCGAAACAGCTACCAACTATGAGTTAAGCACATCTGCATGGGAGACGTCGTTTGGACCACAGCGGCCCAAGGGAGGGACGTCTAGGATCAGGACTACAGGGGATGCTCCTACCCACGGGGGCGGGCAAGTACATCCGTGTTAAACTCTGGCCGGCTTCGAAGGGTGCCTTGCATCCGTGCGCGCCTGCTGCTTTTGGGGGGAAATGAAAGCATCCCTCCAGCCGGCGACTTCAGGCACCCTCCTCGCTGCTTTGCCCGAGCCGCGTACGCCCGTCGGCGCGCGAGTGGTTCTTCCCGCCTCCGCAGCAGGCAGGCCGGCAGGCAAGCTGGCTTCCACGCCGGGCCGGACCCCTCAAGGCTTCCAGCGGAGCAGTCCCGCGTTTGGGCGTGAGCGCCGTCTGGCAGGCAAAACTGGGGCGAGGCTCTGGCTGAGCAGGAAAGGAATGCGAGTGGGAAGCAGAAAGAGCCAGGCGCAAGCAAGCGGGCATGTAGCGACAGATCCTGCCAGCAGAGAGGCGCGGGGAGCCGGGCCGGGGCTCACGCGGCAGAGGGCGGGCTTTCGTGTTCTCCCGGGGAAAGCCGGAGGAAGAGGAAAAACGCCGCTTCGCCCGGCGGACCGCGCGGCCGTTTTCCACGGGCAGCAGCAGCGCCGGAGCGTCGCTGGCTGCCCCCATGGCGGCGTCGGAGAAGGTGCTGCGGGAGGGGGTGCTGGAGAAGCGCAGCGGCGGGTTGCTGCAGCTCTGGAAGAAAAAACGCTGCCTGCTCAGCGAGAAGGGGCTGCGGCTCTTCGAGGCCGGCAGCCGGGGCTCCACGCGCTGCAAGGAGCTGCCCTTCGCGCACGTCAAAGCCGTCGAGTGCGTGGAGTGGAAGCAGCGACACATCTACTTCACGGTGGTGACGGACGACGGCGCCGAGATCGACTTTCGCTGCCCCCAGGAAGACCCCAGCTGGAACGCCGACATCACTCTGGCGCTGGTGCGCTTCCAGAACCAGCAAGCGGTGCAGATCGTGCGCGCCAGGCACAGCTGCAGGACGGGTGAGAGGCGGGGAAGGGCAGGAGATGCTTAAGAAGGTCGCGCCCGTCGGCGGGGGAGAGGGGGGGGGGCTTCCTGAATTAACCAACCCGGAGGTATGATCTCCAGGGCAGGGGTCTCCAACCTGGGCAACTTTAAGACTTGTGGACTTAAACTCCCAGAATTCCTCAGCCACATGGCTGAGGAATTCTGGGAGTTTAAGTCCACAAGTCTTAAAGTTGCCCAGGTTGGAGACCCCTGCCCTAGAGAAAAGGTGGACTTTGCATGGAGGCGGGTCCCAATTCATTCCCCAGTACCTCCAGCTGAACATCTATCCCCAAATGGCAAAATTAAGAAAGATTTCTTAATTCAGAAGGGCCCAGTGGCCTGCTGCCATCACCAGGTTAATGTAAGCAGAGCTAGAATTCTCTGCGGAGGCCATGCTGGCTGGGGAATTCTGGGTGTTGAAGTCCATGCATCTGGTAGAGGCCAGGGTTGAGAAATGCTGGTCTGGAATAGCTCATATTATGGCTTAGTCCAAGACCCTTAAGAGCAGTCAGCCATCATGATTTGCTGTATCGTAATATAAACCATCAGTTGGCTGAATGAATAGATGATACTATATTATCCTAGAGAAAAATATCAGTGATTGAATGCTCACAGCATGTTAAATCAAATCACACGTAATGTGTGAATTTTATCTTTCTGGCATCTAAAATTCCATGCAAAGAATGAGATTATTAATCCCACGCAGATGGGTAGGATTTCTACCTGAGATAAGTAAGGTGAGGCAGGCAAAGTAAGATGTATTGAATGATAGCCAATCCTAATAGTTGCAGTGTGTGAATATACATACTACTGGAGAATATTTGCCATTCTAGTCTAAAGGTAAAATAATCCAAGCACAGGGAGATGCAGTTGCTAACTGAACCTTTGTTCTTAAATATTTAAACAAAGAGATGTGCTTTCTTCTAAAGGGGAGAAAGGGAAATAGTTCAGAAAAAAAAAGAGTTAATGGTATGAATGTCTAATTTTTATCAGAGATGCACAGCATCATGGGGCTACTAAAATTTTTGCAATGTCCCCCAGAACTCTCCTGAAAGTTACATCGGTTTATAACTGTTAAGGTGCTGGGCAGATTTATTGTAATCATGAAGATCATAATTGCATAGGTTTACTTTGTAATTACATTTATAATCAGTGTTTTTTTTATAGTTTTTATCTTAGTACCATTAAATTTTTGGACAATGTTAAGCCACTCAAAAGCCAGTTCAATCCACCACCACCACCACCCCCAAAATAGAGTTGTGCAGCCTTAAGGTGGATATTTACTGCTTTGGACATTGGACAACTAAATTACAGAAGTAGAATCTGGGGTTGAAAGAAAAGAAAGCGGAAAGAAAGCTTCTCCTACAGAGAGAAGATCAGAGAAGAGAAGAAATCCTAACACCCAACAGAAGAAGCGTGCAGATGAGTTTGTTTAGGGACAGATCACTCATGCATCAAGGCCAATGCTGTTGACAGAAGCCTCTCACTTTCTCCGGGCCTCCCTGAAGATGACAGGAGTTGAATTTAGAGTGGTTTGCATGCAAGGAAGGGCCTGAGTAATTGAGCTGTGCCCTCCTCTATTCTCAGCCCAGCTAAAAACAATCGAACAAACATGGCTAAATCACTATTTTTTTAAGCTGGGAGGTCAGAGGTTCAGGAAAAAGTAAAATGGAGAACAGTAGGAGAGGAGGACTAGAAAGGAAATAAATAAACCACACACCATTGTTTGCATCCACTCCTTCTCAGCAGGGAAGATAATGTTCAGTGAGGGTACACACTTCTTACAGAGAATTTTCCATTAATGACAACTCTACCCATCTTGTGCTTGTAGTAATGTTTAAGCTCATTTTTGTTTAAATATTTAAGAACAAAGGTTGAGTTACAACTGCATCTCCCTGTGCTTGGATTATTTTACCTTTAGACTAGAATGGCAAATATTCTCCAGTGCACAGACTGTTTCTACTCAGATATAATTTGATAGTCTGACTGATCAGGAGGACTAAACCGGATATGATCCACTTCTGCCATATTGTTCTTCGACTGTATTTAATAGATGTGCTTTCTTCTAAAGGGGAGAAAGGGAAATAGTTCATAAAAAAGAACTTATCCCCTCACCTCTTTCTGATCAAAACAGGTAACGCTCTGCAAGGTCTTCCTTTCTTTTATATGAACCTCACCAGAATCAGGAGGGAAGACTTTAATTTAATTTAAATGGGCATATTAGTAATTTCTATGCCTTTGCCTAGCCATCTGCCACATGAAATAATAGTTTTTCCGGAATTATGTAGAACCAATTCAGCAAATATATTTTTTAGAAAAAAATAAGGTGTACTTGGTAATACTTGATACATTGTTGTGTGGTGGAATTGCAGTTGGGGAAATACAGTATACAGTTAGGGAAAGGTATTGTTTTAAAATCATTATTTTTATGTCAATAATGTTTTGGTTTATTTTATGTTCATTTCTGTAGCATTTTTCTGTGTATGAAGTGTTTTATAGTACTTTCTGTTGCCACAAGTCTGTGAGAATGGCACATTTTAGACCAGCACGATTTCTTTCTTGCAGTACAGTTAGGGGGTATGTATGGTCTCTTGTATGACTTAACTCCGGTCTAACTGTTGATTCTCCAACCTCCCCCTTTCCAGCTTTTCAACAAGGGTCAGCTCCAACCAGCCAGATTCTGGTGAATGGGTCTAAGAAATCCGACTCTCAGCTCAACGTGGAGAGGGTGGAGGAATTTATAGCAGTGACTTCACCTGCTGGTGGACCAAAGGCAATTTCTAGCTGCAACTGAATGAAGACCTCTACTTTCTTTGGTGAGGCATCTCTGCTGCAAAGTGACATAATGCCTGGTGAAGCTAGCCAAATATGTATCACAACAATGGTTAGAAACAGCTTTTGTTTTTCTCCTCTGTTTTTGCTATGATACTTAAGAACTTGGTCTCTCGATAAGGCATTGAGAAAGTTTCCTATTAAACTGACAGTTTGCTTTCTACTGTCAACAGTCTTACCTACAGTGATGGACATCTACTGTGATTCAGGCGACAGTTGCAGCAGCTAAGACAAAAAGGAATCATTCCATCACTCATTGTGCCACCAGCCTGATGCTGAGTGAACAGTGCCAGAATAAGATGAACCATGCAAGTGAGGAACGTACTTGCTATTGAATCTGAGCATGTCAGACATGATACGGGACTAATTTCTTGGTTTAAAAAAAAAACAGAGGAACGTCTGTCCTCAGATAATCAAGCGGCTCATCTGGAAGGCACAAATGTGAGTCTGCCCCTCTGACCTGAGAAGTCACAGGTTATGAGGAAGATGCTGCTGGAGTAGATGCAGAGAATTTTAAAATATATGTAAGCACCTTAAGAAGCATTTGGGAATCCCAAAACTTCTATAAATGAGTTGGTTGTGCTTTTTGCCACGAAGTTAATGCTCACTGTCAATCCATAATTTCAGCTCAGTGAATCATATCGACATCTAGGATTATGTAACATTGCTAGATCCTTTATCTTAGAATCCTTAGGTACTAATGTGCAAGCCTCCGGATAAGAATTCATATGCAAGGCTGAAGGCTTCTTTATTTCAGCCTTTTGAAGACTGAAGTATGCCACCATCTTTTTCTTCCACTGCCCCATGACTTATTTACTTACCTTGGGACATGGGAAGAAAGCAGAAAATAGAATGGCAAGCTCTTGCATTGCCTTTTGAAACATAATTATGAATCCAACTGGGAATGTCCTTATCCCTTTTGGTAAGAAGATGGAGATTGGGTGCACACTCATCCACCAAAGAGGCCATTTTACCCTTATTCAGGAGTTATGTGTAACAAATAAAGCAGTGTGAAACAGGAGTATGCATTGTCCCCAATATTACCATTCCTGCTTTCTCATTCCCATTTTTTAAATCTTTGTGGAAACTCTGATTTCCTAATGTTCAAATGACTGGTTGATCCTTGTCAGGTTTTCTAAATCAACACCCAAAACCACAAGGGGGGGAGGGGAAGAGATCTGGAAGAGGTCTACTGTATTTAGGATCCTGACCCTTCTTGCCTTGATCTCTTCAGACCAAATGTTTAAAAAGGGCTTATGCACCACAGAATTGGAAGAGAAGTGGCATGGCAAAACTACTAATATAATTATTAATGACATTTCAAGAAAAATCAATGCACGCAATTGTCCTGCTTTTGAAACATGCTTTTTAAAACATTCTTTCCTAGCCACCCTATGCTCAATATTTTGTAATTATGCAGATTTGTGCCAATTAGGAGCATTGGCATAAAAAAAAATGACTATGATCTTAGCTACATGAAAGCGAATGGAAAATTATGGAAAGTCTGTTGGTGGTAGAAAGTTTGGTCATTAACATGACTGTGAAAGACATTTCCTACATTCAGTTTGATATGTATTGGTCATGAGATGTAACTTCACAGTCTGAAAATCTAGATCTGTACATTGTCTGAAGCCTTGTGTAATGTCTGTGACCATCAGTAGCATCATTTGCTATAGAATAAATTATGAAAATACTGTTGTGCCAATCACTCAATTTCCTCTGCTTCTCTTTTGTCCATGACAACTATTGGTGACATTCCATGTTCTCAATCTCCACTGCTTCTTCTGTCTCTGGGTATCACAGCCCTTATTTAAATAATGTTGACCAACTGTCATGAGCAATTATGAATCTGCTTCTGACAAGCAGTACCCCCTCAAAATTTGATAACATTATTATCATATACTGCAACACTGAAAAATAAGGAGTAATATGAAGGTGGTACCCTGCTGATTTCATTAGGAGTTTTAGATTCTGTGATTGAATAAATGCAGTAGATACATTTTCCTGTCCAAAAGGTAATTCACCAGAATGTTGATATAAATGATGTCATTACAATATTTTTGAATATCTAGTATCTTAAAAGTAATTAGACTTTATGGTGCTTTAAAGATTCAAGGATGTTTTTCTTTTATCCTTTCATTATAAATAATTTGAATAAATTTATTAAAAAAACAACTAGTAACATGGCTCTAGTTTTAATGTTTTAAAATGTTACGAAGGCTGATTTTAAAATTACTTGTAGGAAAGCTTCCCCAAACTGCAATGGGATTTCTCTTATATGGCAAATAATCACTTTGCATTGCAAAAAATGTTGCACTGGAAGTCCTAAAGCACATGCTTAGTTTACATAAACTACAGGTAGACATCTCTGGTATTGTTTCCCATCTAAATGGATTATGCATCCTTTTGCATAGAAATAACCCTTATCTGTGAGTCTGTGAAGGAGGAGTGTGCAAAAGTTGGCTTGAAACTCAACATTAAGAAAACTTACGTGCATGGCATCTGGCCCACTCAATTCCTGGCAAATAGATGGGGAAGAAATGGAGGTAGTGACAGATTTTATTTTCCTGGGCTCCAAGATCACCGCAGATGGGGACTGCAGCCAAGAAATTAAAAGACGCTCCTGGGGAGGAAAGCTATGGCAAATCTAGACAGCATACTAAAAAGCAGAGACATCACCCTGCCAACAAAAGTGTTTATACTCAAGGCTATGGTTTTCTCAGTTGCAATGTATGGCTGTGAAGGTTGGACCATAAGAAAGGCTGAGTGTCAAAGAACTGAGGCTTTTGAACTATGGTGCTGGAGAAGACTCCTGCAAATCCCTTGGACTGCAAGGCGATCAAACTGGTAAGTCCTGGAGGAGGAGAACGCTGACTGCTCTTTAGAAGGCCAGATCCTGAAATTGGAACTCAAATACCTTGGTTACCTAATGAGAAGGAAGGACTCATTGGAGAAGAGCCTAATGCTGGGAATGATTGAGGGCAAAAGAAGAAGGGACAACAGAGAATGAGGTGGCTGGATGGAGTCACTGAAGCAGTAGGCGTGAGCTTAAATAGACTCCAGAAGATGGTAGAGGACAGGAAGGCCTGGAGGAACATTGTCCATGGGGTCACAATGGGTCAGACATGACTTCGCAACTAACAACAGCAACAACCTTCATCTGGGGCTATGCTACTGAGGATGATTAGAGCAGTAGATACACTGCCTTCCAGGAAAACTTGGCCCTTGTTTCTGTTCTCTAGAGGAATTACTGTCATCTTACTTTAATGTTTCATAGAGTGGTTAGAGTGCTATGCTAAGATCAGAAACTTAACAATGCTTTTGCACCCAGTGTGTTTGGACTTCTGAGCTCCATTTCTGATCTACCCCATGGACATAATCCCCATTCTACCTTTTTAGTGGTTAACACATTCAGCACTTTCAATACATTGTTATTACAACTTTTGTAAAGTAAGGAGAAATCCATTTCATTGGTTTATAAGATAAGGTAGGTATAACTCTTTCCATATCACCTATTCAAGTACCTTGTCAAGAAGATATTATTGTCCCGTGCTTTCATACAGGCTCATTGTGTGGTAGTTGCCACATCTTCAGACCTTCATGTCCCAAACTGCCTTAGTTAAAACTGAGCCAACTCTGGCAGACTTTATGCCATAAGTCAAGATGATCCGACATCTTGAATATTAAATCAATATGGCAGAAGAATTGGAATCTCAGTCTTTGCCCTCTCTCTTTCAACCCATTCTTGCTTTTTTGTCTCTACATATTTGTGCCAAAATCAGTTCAACTGCATTTCTTCATCTACCACTAAATCCTTCTCCAAAACACATCAAGAAAACATATACCGTTCATTCTGCTGGGTCTTATCCAGGGGTGGGATTCAACTGGTGTTACTATATTTTGTGATTACATTTTGTGCGCGCATGTGCGCCAGACACACACTGTGTGTGCATGTTATAAACCTTAAGCTGTGCCACCCAGACAGTTGTAAAGTGCTGTGCGCGGGGTACACAGCATTTGAAAGCCACTTTTTCCTGCTTTTTCAACCTCAGCTGTGCTGCACAAAGCAGCTGAGGTTGAAAAAGCAGGGAATAAAGGACAGGTAAGAGCCCGGGTGAGCGGGTGGGCCAAACAGCAGCAAACACAGAACCGGTTTAGTGTCTGCTGCTCTTTAGAGCTACCAGTTCTATAGAGCTGGGCAGAACCGGTAGCATCCCACCCCTGGTCTTATCAAATAGTTTTGAGTGCCACAAGATTGATTTTCTTCCCTTTCCTATGATAATTCTTGAAAGGGTTGCAATCATACTTTGCACATTTGTTTTCCATGGCCTGTGAGGCTAATTCACTCCCCATTCTACCAGGCTGTCTTTTTCTTCACTGACACTTGTGCAGATCATGGTACTCATCTGAGATGAAAAAACTGCAGGGATGGAAATCGTTTTTCTCTCTGCCTCTATGGGCTGCTGTTATCTAAACAAGAAAGGGTAAAGTCAGTGGATCTTCTGCTATGTCTCATTAAATTTTGTGTGGATTTTGTGATTGTATGTCCATATCTTTTTTTTTTTTTTTGTAATTTGTATTTTGAAAAACATAATTAAAAAAAACTGAGCAAATTGATTAGCAGAAGCCAGCATGGATTTGTTAAAAACAGCCGGACAAATTTTGTTGCTTTCTTTACAGTATGACTAGATTAGTATACCAGGAGAATGTTGTGGATGTAGTGCCCTTAAAACTTCAGAAAAGCATTTTACAAAATAGACCTTTGCTTTCTTTTTGATAAACTGCAATAATGTCTGATTGTCCTTGTGTGGTCCCCAATGGATTTTTGTCAACATGGAAGGAGATATGCAATGAGGTACCTCATGGTTCTGTCCTGACCCAGTAGTTTTTAACATCTTCATAAACAATGTAAACATGGAAATAGAAGAAATGAGTGGTCCTTAGTGCTTCCTGAACTTGGTTGTTTCTTGCAGACATTTCATTACCCAAACTAGGTTACATCATCAGTACACTCATGATTTTAGCTAGTTTGGGTAATGTAGCAAAAGAGAACATCAAGAACCCCTTATTTCAATCCTGAGCTACAAATATTCTCTGTTGATAGAAGAGACACATAAATTTTGTGGATGACAGCAAGCTAGTGAAGATTTCTAACACTTCAAAAGACTAGCTTAAGTTTCAGAAGGATTCTAATAGATTTGAACATCAGAATTTATTTAACAAAATATTTTTCAGTTGTGAGAAATGTAGGATTTTGCACTTACGTAGGAAAAGCTAAATGCAGGTAGCTCAGAAGAAGTATTAGCGAGAAGGATCTGGATGACCTGGTAGACCACAGATTAAGCATTGTGCCATTGGTATTGTAAGAGCCAATGCAGCTTTAGGCACACTAACAGATATACAGTGTTAAGAACATGGAAGGTCTTAGCATTGCTCTGTGCACCATGAATCAGACCATACCTGAAATAGTGTGTCCAGTTTAAAAAGATACTGAGAAATGAAGTTGTTAAGAAAAGAGTGGTAAAGGATTTGAAAGCTAGATCCCATGAAGATCGGTTAAAAGAATTTGGTATGTTTAGCCTAAGGAAATCTTAGGGCAGAAGGCAGAGGGTGTGGATTTGTTCTTCTATAGCTTCCACAGGTAAGACAATAACCAGTGGGTGGAAGTTAACAAAGAAAGCTCCAGACTTGAAATCTCTTGTGATAATAGCCTGCTTCTTAAAGCCATGAATGTCTATCACTGGATATTTTCAAGGTAAAAGCTATTTGTCCAGGATAATATATGGACTTTTCTGCTCAGAAAAACAGGTTGGACTAGAAGACCTCTAAGGTCTCTTCCAGTGCAATGACTGTATGAATTCCCAGTCTTTTTGATTGCCCTTCAGCTATCAAGATGTCTTGAGCTGATTTTACATAAGTGCATGCTTGCTTCTTGCCAAAGAAAAGCAAGAACAAATGCTTGTCTCCCTGATTTTCCACAACACCCAAATACATTTCCCTTCTTCCTTACTAGAAGGAGGAAGGAGGCTTTGCTATTGTTTTATAAAACTTTCACCCACATGAACAGATGTTCCACATCTCACGTTGCCATGCTTTTAGTTTTCTACCAAGAATTGGTACAGAAGCAATGTGGAGTATCTACTCCCTTTTATTGGAAAA